AGGCACACATATTTATAGAGAGTTTGCCAACCTCTTGTTAGATGATCAGTGTATTCTACTTGTACTCACTACTCCAATGGCTGAAACGCAGGTGGAAGTCTCCATGTCTAGCCTTGATTTCTCTTTTGACCTTCAGAGGTTGTATCCAGCAGCCTACTGGCATCTCTACTTGGAAGTCTCATGGGCACCTTGAGTTCAACTGGTTCAGAGTAAACTTGCCTTCTTTCTGCTCAAACATGCTGCTTTGTGTTCCGTAGCACAGTGACAGGAACCTGGGTGTCATCCTACCTTTTGTCCTCTTCCTCGCCTCCCATGTCTTAACCTTCTGTTGATTTCAGCTTTTAAATATCTCTTGGCACCACACCTGCCTTTCCATTTTGGCTGACACTGCCCTTAGCCAGACCCTGGTCATCTTCTGCCTGACCCAGTGAAATCCAGCTACAGGACCTCAACAGGGAGTCTCTTCATAAAGGTCTGAGGAAGTGGGACACATGCCCTCCAAAATCTTAGGTTGGACTTGTCATTGAGTTCTGTCCATAAAATAGTTCATTTTCTGTTGTTTTGTGGTTCTTTATTTTAAGGATCTGCTGTGTGGTTGTATTTAAAAAGAGAACAGTAATAACAACCCTAATACATGTGCTTTACTTTCAAAGGTTATAAAACACTTTCATATTCATATTATTATTTGATTCTTGGACAACTTAGGGAGAGAGCTATTGTAATTATCTGTATTTATCCATATGAAAGAATAAATGCTTGCCAAAGGTTACCTGCTTTGTAACTAGAAATCAGACCCAAGGCCCCTGACTCTGTGTTTTGTTTCTTCTTTTCTTTCCTTTTCGTCCCCTCCTTCCCTTCCTCCTCTCCCTCTCTCTCTCTCTCTCTCTCTCTGTGTGTGTGTGTGTCTCTTAAGATTCTTCTTCCCAAAGCATCTGAGGTACAGCTTTCTTTTCCCTTGAAGACTAGAGATCCATCAGGTAATATGTTATGTGTCTTGCATTTCCACTACGAAGATCAGTATTAAAAAATGACAGCAACTTATTATTTATGGCAATATCTATTGTTACTAAGGGAGGCAGACCAAACAATTCCCCATTGTTACAGAAGCGACTCTGACTTGACAGCTGGGGAAGTCTGATAGGCAGTTTATTTACTTAGCCATTTAACCAAATAAATGTTTTCATTTTTCTTTCATCTCCTCAAAAGCTAACATTTCGCCCTTAAAATTGCTCCAGCAACACATCAGTGAAGTATAAATTACCTGCCATTCCCATACCAGCTATTATAATATTATTTTGGTTCTTTTTTGCCCTTTTTGACCCAATCTTTCAAAGACACGTGATTCTCCCAATGGGAGAGGAAGGGGAGGGGAGGGGGAAAAAAGTGAAGTAATTGAAGATATTTTCCTTTATTGCTAAAACAGAACTGCTGTTTGAGATTGGCCCTGAAGCTTCCACCTTCGGGGATTGAGTCTGTCTGTTTCCTCTTACTATGGTGTGATATGGCTTTAGCTTATCAACAGATGTCATCCCTACTTACTCAGAACTGTGCGCGTATTTCTAATAAAAAACAGCTGGTGAAAATGGTTGCAAAGGTGATAAGAGGGACAGGACTCTTGCTTTCCCCTCTGTATGAAAGCAGAGGGGAAAAAATAAAGCCATGGACATAACTATTCCTGCATGGCCTTCCTTCTCCGAATGTCTGTAAAGGCACTAAGAACTTGCAATCAGTATATTTTCAGTTGGGTGGATGGGGAAATGGGATGGAGATGGAAAGATCAAATGTGGCTTGTACTGCTGTCAATGGAGGGACCTAGAAAGGTTCCCCCGGATATCATCCCCACGGGTGTCATAGTGGCTATGTCTGCAAAGCTGGCATACGCCCCTTGGCACTTGAATCTCTGTAAGTGTGAAGTGGCCAGGCTAAGCTTTCAAAGGGAGAAAATTACTTCACTGAAGATTACAGTCCAGCCCTCCTCTGGAGCTGGGAGGTACTTACTTTGATTTGCATGCGATTCTAAGACAGCTTATTTTTTGGCAATGAGTGGTGTGAGGCCCAGACAGAGCCATTTTGATTATGGGGTGGGGCAAGCCAGAGAGTAAAGCAGCAGGCTTTTTTCCTTTCTTTTTTACCTTCCAAAGCTGTTGTGACACATACTGAAAAATAATTATCTGAGGACAAAATAAAAAGCAAAACCTCCCAACCAATAACCTTATACATAAAGGCTAAATGTAGAAAATCCAAGATAGGGGAGCCAGAATTAACTGGATATGTGTGATGATGATGATGATGATGATGACGGTGACGGTGATGATGATGGCATCTAGCATCTATTGGGTGCATATAGAAAGCACCCAATAGATGCTAGATGCCATCATCATCACCATCACTGTGCTAAAAGCTTCACATACATCACTTTATTTTGTTCACACAATTACTCTATGAGGTGGACACTATTTTTAACCTTATTTTTCAAATGAAGAAAATAACATAGAGAATAATTATGAAATCTCAGCAGGGTTGCATAGCCAGGAAATGGTGGAGCCAGATGCTGAACTTAATGTTGTTTTAGAACCTAGATTTTTTTTAAGCTGAGTTTTAAGCTGAGTACTCAGAGTCTGTCTCTGTGCTAGATACTCAACATAAACTATCTCAGTTACCATTGTGAAGAACATAAGCCCCTTCTAGCAGATGAAGAAACCAAGACTCAAAAGAAACTTTGGTTCTTGCCTAAGATTGCCCACTATTAAGTAGCTGAGTTAGGATTTAAACTCAAGTCCAAATCCTGAGTTCTTCCCACACCACTATGCTATGTTCATTTACAGCTCAGCTATAAAGGGTGCTGGACAGAGCACTAAATATGGAACAGACCAAAGTCCCATGAAACAGTTTGGCTTGTAGGATTATCTCAAGCTGAACAGGTTCATAAAGATGAGGGTTTGATACATTGATCTGCAAATGGTGTAAGTCATCTTTGTTTTCTAGAAGAACTTCAATTTTAGGATGATGTTTGCTGTTATCCTGATGAATGGCTCTTGTCACCTCTAGTTCATTCATCAAATTTTTCAAGGCAAGGTTGAGCACATGAAATACAACTGAGGCATGGGCTAAAAATCCTCATGGGGAATCATCCCAAGGAGTCTGCCTATAGTCCCCAACCTTTCTTTTTCCTGAAGCATCGACTTTGCTTCCAATATACCCACTCCCAAAGTAGCTTTGCAAGACTAAATATTTAAGTGAATCTTAGGTGGTTTTGCATGGCATGATATATTATTATGTGCTATTGTACTGATGTAAAATTTGGCAACCTATACAGTGTGTTAGGTTCTTTAATCATAGTATCTGTTAAAATACACTTTCAAAGTACTATATTAGCTTTCAGTAACTGTCTAATTTATGTGTGGACTAAGACTAATTCTGAGGTAGCCTCAGAATCCACTTATGAGTGGTGAAAACTGTTTACCATTTTAATGGTGTTGACCATGCTGTACAGGGCTTAAAAATAGAGCTCTTTGGGAATGGCCTTGCAGTCCTGTGTGTTTATAGAAAACTAAGAAAGATTCTGAAAATTGAACACATTTGTCAAGAAGTGACCTTAGAAATCATGTCTGGGTGACAAGGTGTACTTCTGTCTCCTAAGAAGGTTCGCTTCATCAGCTCCTCTTTCTTTCGATCAAATCAGATGTATTGAAATTCAAGTGCCAAAAGCCACTTCTCGTAAATGTAAGTACACCTCTCTCAAAGTAGCTGCTGATAGAATCTGAAGTGATTTGGTGGCAATCCACATGCTGCAGCACAGGTGCAAACAGCACAGCCTCAGGAGTGAGTACTACACATCTCTGGGCTTTGAATTTCACATCAGAAAGGGTGCAGGGTGCAGGGTCCTTTCGGCTAGACGAAAAGGGCTGCGTCTGATCTTACATCTCGATCAATCTTATTTCAAGCACTGCTTGCTTTTGCTTTTTAGTCTAGTTTCTCTGTGTGTTTGATTGGTGACCTCTTTAGATCTGCAGAGTGTAGGCAAATGCAGTGACATTTTGCTTAGAAGATTAAAGCATATGGACCATGGCTCACTGAGAAATTATCAGGGTGGGAAGAAAGTGGCCATCTCAAAATGTTGATACTTTCAGAAACTAAATCCATGTTAAGTAGCATGGACCATGCCTCATTCTATCACCACCACCCACGCAGAATGTATTATTAATAAAATAATATGATCAGTCCCCACTTCTCACCCCTACCCCTACGTCCCAGGATGTGTCAAAGGTCATGCATCCATGAGAAAAAGCAAAGTAGAACATAGACACTAGGCAAAAGGACACGGTGTAGACACTGGTAATATAGCTCAGGCAGCGAGAGATAGTGCAAACATCAGGAATACAGTTCAGGGAAGGAGAGATGGTGCAAACATCAGCAATACAGCTCAGGCAAGGAGACATGGTGCAAGCATTGAGGATGTGACTTCAGAAGTAAAGAACAAGCAAAAGGGAAAGCAGATAGCTTAAGGGTAAAGGAGATAAAAAGGACAGATACCTACCCAGACCTGCGCTATCTAGCTACCGGCCTGTGGACTTATATTATCACCACTGGGCTCCCCACTGGGCTCACCAAATGGATCACTGTTGGATGAGGCCTGTGATCCATCAGGCTAGAACACAAGAAGATAATACTTTTTTTTTCTCTTTTTAACAATTGAAAATATAAGACAACTGGATATACTTTCATGCAGCACAATCAGTTATTGTAAAGGAGGGTAAAACTGCATTTAGAGGATCCTGCACCACAAATGTGGACTTGCAATAACAACTTAATAAAAAGGCAGTCTTTTTCAGCTGACTCATTTGAACACAAAAGAAAGCCCCTTTAGCAACCCCATGAGAACTTATGAGATTGAGCCAGCATTCTTTCCTAGGTAGGCTTCCTCATGCATTATCCATTTCAGTTACAGAGGTATTAATTTTAAGGAAAAAACACAAACAAATAGCAAACTGGTCACTTACAGCTTCTTGCTCTTCGCTTTTGCTGGGACTTTCGAAGCCCTCTTCGAAGATGTCATCTGTGGTAGGATCACTGGCATGGGATGCAGATGATTTGGATGGAGAGCTCTGTCTAGGGGCTGGGGTTGGAGCTACACAAAGACCACAGAAAAAGAGGAAATATCTTAAATGCCCGGCTGCAATCAATTTATCCCCCCAAAAACTCAGGAATCTGCTTATATTGAAGTCAGATCTTAGGATTCCTCTTCCTATCCCAGGTTGAATCAGCTGAAAATTTGAATTCTTCCTCTGTACATATTGATCTTTCCTTTCACACATCTGATTTTAGGAAGGAGCTTGTCCACACTGATAAGTAAAACAGTGGTTCTCAAAGGATGGTCCTTGGACCAGCAGCAGCAGTAGCATCTGGGGATTTGTTAGAAGTGAAATTCTCTGACCCTACCCCAGATCTACTGAATCAGAGACTCTGTGTTTAAACAACCTGCTACAGGTTATTCTGATGCACAATCAAGCTGAGAACTGCTGGGCTATGGTTTGCTTTCTTCCTTCTGTGTTTCATCAGAGGGCACATTTACTGAGTGCCTTTCATGTGTCAAACACTGTTAGAAATTTTACAGACAATATCTCTAATCCTCATAAAACCTCTTTGAGGTACAGGTTATCCTAATTTGACAGATGAGGAAAGTGAAGTTTGCTAATTTTCTCATGGCAACTGGTAGAACCAGGTTCTGAATCCCGGCACATGGTAGGTATTCAATAAACACATGTTGAATAAAGAGTAAGTATCTCAGTGATCTGGAAAAATGGATGTAGCTGATGGCAACTTCACAGCTGGTACTTGATTATATAAAAATAAAGGATATGCATTTGCTGGGCTGACCCACCCACATCTCCTCTCATTTGTTTTAGAGGTTTAGAACAAATATGGCATTTGATACCACTCTTCTTTTAATGATTTCTAATTTGTCATTGAAAAGACCAGCCACTGGCTAATACCCAAGTGAGGGGGTGTCATGGTTTGATTTAGAGGCTGAATTTTCCTAATGTTACAGAGCTTAGAAATCAGATAGTGAATAATTGTAAAACTTAGTGCATACTTTTTACTCTGTGAATCTATATTTAGAAAAATAATGCTATTTTCTCATTTATTATGCATAATGTCCCTGTTAGTTGGACACTCTGCTAGGCACTTCCCATACATTATACACTCTAATACAAATACCTGCAAGTTGTTATTTATAGGGATTTTTTTTCCCAGATGAAGAAATTGCAGCTCAGAGAGGTGAGGTGACGTGCTAAGAGTTAATACAGCTATGAAACAGCAGCACTGGCATTGACCAGAGATCTGTCTGACACTACCCAGTCCAACTGTGCTTTTCTGTTTCCATTGAGGTTCACTTTGGATCCAACCAATCTTCTACCCAAAAACATTCTTAAGGGGCTACTGATGGGTCGGAGGATATAAAGACTGGTTTTACTAATTTTATTCAAAATAAAACAGTAAGTTTTTGAAAAATTTTGCAATGAAATCTGTCTTGTTTCAGGAAAGGACTATGGAACAAACTATATTGAAAGTGGATTTAAAGCTGTATGCAAACACCCTGATGGGTTGTAGACGTTTAATAAATATTAGCTTAATTAGATCCTGAATTGTATTTGAAGTGGTTTATTGCTTACTAAAGATTCAAAATACAGGCTGAGCTGCCAGTTCTGGCAGGTATACTGCTCAGACTTACCCAAAGAAATCAATGGGAAGCATAAAAAGGAGTTTATTTATGCAAGTGTCTTAACCTTTAGAAGGTTTTATAGGATGCTTCTAACACTCCAAACAGTGGTTCTCAGTATGGGGTAATTTCATCCCTAGGGGACATTTGGCAATGCTTGGAGTCATTTTTGACTCTCAACACTAGAGGAAGGGGCTGTATGTTTCCCTAATAGAGTGATTAGAGGCCAGGGTTGCTGCTAAACATCCTACGTTGGGACAGCCTCTGCAACAAAGAATTATCTGGCCCAACATGTCAACAGTCCCGAGGTTGCTAGGACTGCTCTAAAGTACAACAGCAGCTAAGTGATCTCTGTGTTCTTTCACTCTCTTTACCCTTTCCCACATGCCTCCATGTGCCAGGCTCTAAGCTAGCATTATGAGAAGTGTGGGAATGATGGAGACAGTTCCTGTCCTCAAAGAACGAAACTCTCCTCTTCAGTTGGCACCCAAGTCCACTGAAAGAGAGAAGTTTGTTTTTAAAAAGATACTTGCTTATTTATGCAGGGCTGTTATTTACCATTTCATTTTGTATTCATTATTCCTCATTGAAACCCTGTGAGTCTGCATAGAGATGCCGTCACTATGTAGATCATATGGCCTGAGTGCAAGTGGGTTGTTTATACACATTGAGGCTATTTGTTTTTAGAATAGCATTCCGAACCTGGCTGAAATGACACAATCTAATTGTATTAACATTAGGGTTTTTTTTTTTTTTTTGGACAGTTCACAGTATTGGCCATGCAGTGATCCGTATCACCTGTGACAGTAATGAAACCACCAAACTCACTGTAGTATGAGCCTTTTCTCTCGTCTTATCAAGTGTCAAGGCACATGCTTGAGTCACCAGAACACCTTCCTGAATTGTGTCATGCTCAAGTGTATCTGGATTATGATTTGGCTGCACGGTCACTGTTTTCCAGATGTTTGCAGAAGAAATGTGAGCTGGAGAGACTCATTGAAAGCTGGAACTAGATGGATGCACACTGCTCATCCCAGCCAATTCACTTATTTTACTGATGAGAAAACCGAGTCTCAGAGAAGTCACACACAAAGGCACAGCTTGTGGTGGAGGAGTCAACACCAGAACCCTGTCCAGGACTGCACAAAATCACTTAACATGTGCTAATAATGAAGATAAAAGATACCTCAAATTCTGGGAAGTCTATAATGTTGGAGAATATATACCACTAAATCCTTTTAATAACCTGTCGCTAACACAGATGGGGAAACCGAGGCTCACAGAAATAAAGTGACTTGCCCAAGGCACAAAACTGGTCACCAATAAATCTGATCTCCAGGTTCCCAGTCCAGAACTTTCTTCTGCACCATCTTTTTTGTTCTCTTTAACTACCAGAAGCTTTGAGCCAAAATGAGGCTTCAACTATAAAGGCTATTTAAGACCTTATGGCTGCTGTATCTGCCCTAAGTTTTCCCTTGATCTTAATTTTATATTCTAATGTTTAAAACTTGTTCCCAAAATATTTTAAGTTTGCATTCATTTTTATTTCAATGAGCCACACCAAAATCTGTGTGTCATAATCTGGCTATACATAAATAAATGAACAAATGAATGAGCAAACTAACAACATCTTAAGAAGCAGAGTAACATGGTGGAAAAAGACTAGGCTTACATTCAATTCAATACCACTTTGTCTACTGTCTTCGTCTTTGAGCCTCACTTTCAGTATCTGTCAAACAGATCTAACAAAACTTGTCATTAAGCATTATTATGAGTCTAAAAATAAACATGGAACATATGAAGGTTTGTATGTTATCATTGGTACCTCCTTTGGTGGCTCTTAGTAGTAGCAGTAGTATTAATACAAACAAAGAAACCTGATTAATGCAAGTGAGATGAGTTCTTTCACCCCAGAAACCCTGCCTCCAGACATGAGTTACGGCTCTCATTGGGTTTTGTGTCTTAAGTGAGGGGCACTCACGTGAGTTGGTCGATGGTGTGGTAGAAGTCACAGGGGTCAAATTCAACTGGGAGATGTCAAAGTCATCACAGTCGTCTGTATCCTGTGCCACCCCGACTTTGTTGAAGTAACTGGAGAAGGCCTCTGAGGTACAGGTGAGGGAGGGCTGGTCGGGTTTGCGGGAGGGCACGGGCGGAGGCTGGGCCATCTGGAAATCCTTAAATGTTTCTTTTCCCATTTTCTGCCTGGGCTTGTCGGTCTGTGGACTTGACCTGGTGGAGTCACTCGTGCCTGGGACGGTGGCGAGGGGGGTGAGGGGACCTTGGAACATGGCAGCTGGCAAAGGCATAACAGTTTGTGTCGGCATGAAGGCGGCTGGCGGAAACTGCCCGGCCACAGTTGGCCAGGGTTGCTGAGTGGCAGGAAAGAGACCTGGCTGGCCCCATGCGATGGGCTGAGTCCCCGGCATCACCTGAGCAACTGGTGGCTGGGCACCCATGACCATCTGCTGTTGGACGAGGGGCTGCTGGCCCCAGAAGGACGGGAGGACAGCGCCCATTGCAACATAACCTGGGAGAATGAAAAAGGAGAGTCAGGTGTCCTGGGAAAGAAGGATGCATGGACTCAGGTAATTGACAGAAATGTATCGTGCACCAACCAAGTGCCAGACTGTGTGCCTGGGACTGGGGATGCCAAGACAAACAAGACAAAAGTCCTTGCTCTCACGGAGCCTCTATCCTAGAGAAGCAGTCAGGGAAAGCCTCTCTGAGGAGATGATCTGTAAGCAAAAACTAAAATGCTAATAATCACATTTCCATAGTTGTTAAAGGTTTCCAAAATCTCATAGCCTCAGAAGCTGTGTGTCTCAGGGAAAAAGCAGAAGGATGGAAGGCAGGCCAGCCTGGGTTTTTGCCTTGCCTCCCCTTCCTGCTGCACTTAGGACCCTCTTAATTGGATAAGTTCTCTAAGAGTCTTATCTCTCTGTTGTAAAACCTGATTATAATACCTTCCTTCGCAGTGTGCAAAGTGAGTAAGAATCTGAATGTTGGAGTTTTAGAGACCTAGGCTAAAATTCAAACTGCCACTTCTTATCTATGTAATTTGGGGAGCAGTTCTTATCCTCTCTAAGGCTCCAAGACATTTGTAAAATGGATATAAACACCTTCTATCTTATTTGTGGATTTGAAGATTGAGAGTATATATTTAACGTGTGGAGAATTGTACCTGACACAGGATCAACATTCAGTAAACGTTAGCTACTAGTATGGTTTGGATCACACAGAGCCTAGAAAGTTATACTACGTTGCTTGATACACAACAGATATGTAATAAATGGTAGCTAGAGATATTATGTATGATTTCTGTATTATTATTATTCCAGTTTTAGAGAATAATAAAATAGGGCCAGATGTGCTGGCTTATGCTTGTAAACCAAACACTTTGGGAGATCCAGGTGGAAGGACTGCTTGAGGCTCGGAGTTTGAGACCAGCCTTGGCAACACAGCAAGACCTCGTCTCTACCAAAAATTTTTAAATGTAGCCAGGAATGGTGGCACATGCTCATAGTCCCATAGTCCCAGCACTCAGGAGGCTGAGGCAGAAGGATCACTTGAGCCCAAAAGTTTGAGGCAGCACGGAGCTATGATCACACCACTGCACTCCAGCCTGGTAATAGAGTGAGACACTTGTCTCAAAAAAGGAAAAAAAATGAAGGTTATTTTTCACTCGGGGCACCTCATACATCAGTATAGGTTAGACGTTGCCAGACTCCACAGATTGTACTCAGATGTATTACCATGATAACGGTTCACTGCATTATTCTTTTTAGGCGAGGCATACACATTTTAACAGGAGCGCAAGTGACACTTGTTACAATAATAATAGTAACATAATAGTAACAGCAACAAGCTCCACTTATTAAATGCCTACATCATGCCATGTACATTAGTAGGTGTTTTATGTCTTCACAAAATCCCGGCAGGGTAGGTATTATTATTTCCATTTCAGGGATAAGGAAATTGGTGCTCAAGGAAAAGCAACTTGCTTAAGGTCATTCAAGTTGCATGAGGTAGGAGCAGGATCAAACTGAGGTTGTCTGTTACCTGAAAGCCAGGATTCCTTCCTTTGTGCCACACACCGCCTTACCCAGATGGCCAAGACCAATTTCTGATCTTTGAAGTTAATAGAACTTACCTACCATTTGATTGTCTTAGCATATTGCATGCCTGTAGGAAACTCCCATGTGCTTCCAGGAGTCCCTACCCTTCTCAGGGGGCACAGAAGCCACCTGTATGTGCAATTAAGCCTGAGAAGCAAGTTCTCAGTCTGGGCAGAGCAGAGAACAGAGAAGCCAGCTTTGCCTGGCCTCTCAAAACAAGCCTTTCCATGGCATCAGTAAGAATGTGCAGATGCAGTGTAGTGAGACCAGGGAAAAAAGAGGAATGGATGCAGAGTATCCTAGCAACTTCCAAAGGGACAATTGGTAGGTGTTATGGCATTGATCACATCATGAGTCATCTCACTTACTCTTGTGAACCCAGAGAAATCAAACGCAGGGTGCCTCACTCCATGCTCCAGTCACCTTCAGCTGACAGATACAGGCTAGAGCCAACATTCAAGGCCTGATCATTTTCTTTGCAAGGTGCCCATTCCTTCTCATGCCATGATTCCCTAAGAGAAGGCTCCAGAGAGGCACCAAAAGGACACTTAGACTTCTCGCTCATATCTGGTAGTGTTAAGTACTTTTGTGTAATGTGACAAGGATGGCAACAAACAAAATGGAGACTGTCTTGTAAGACCACTTTGTCCAACTGCACTGAAATAAGAGGGGTGAAGAGGCACTGGAGCTGAAATTTCAAAAGTGAAGCTTGCTTAGCTTGCCTAGTCCATGGCATAATAATGCAGTGACTTGAATCTACCAACAGATGAAGCATCCTGCAATGCTGTCTTGTTTTCTGATTTTCTTTGATATAGCCCAGTGGTTCTCAATGGGAGTGCTACTGCCCCCTAGGGGTGGTTAGGAAATTTGTGGGGTGTGTTTTGGTTGTCCTAAGTGGAGGGGGTGGCAATACTGGGATTTTGGAGGCCCAAGCATTGACAGTAGACATCCTATTAGGTGTGAGACCAATGCGTACAATGAAGCATTATTCCACATCCCACTTATGATCATTTGCACCTAGAATCGACTTTGAATTACCTGGAAATTCAGTCATCTTTGGGCTTGACTTTAATGCATTTACTTTTCCAGGAATTCAACAGTTGTGCACATGAGGGAAGACTGTACCCTTTGGTTTGGAGCACTGTCAAGAGGTGTTCGCTATTCTGGAAATGGCAGTCCCCAAGAGAAACCCTTCTCATGGCTGTATAGCCGCATGACACTCCTGTGTCAGCCTGGACTCACAGCTGTGGCTTTCAATAGTGATTCAACTTACAGGTGTATACATCTGATGGTTTGTTATGTCTTCTAATGTTCTCATGCCTGAGTATTTCCTTATTTAAATACATATATTTATATTACAAATTATCTTTCTTTTCTTTCTGCCGTATATTACAGTTAGAGAATTATATTCATTTTGAAAAATTGTGTAGCTAGGCTATATTATCTATGAAATTCATTTCAAGTATGAAAGGAGGTATTGCAAACATTTGTAATAAGAAGGGGTTGCTGGGTCTGCAGGTAGAACTACCCATGGATTCAATCACCCAAGACCTGATGCCCATTTTGGTGAGTGAGTGGATGTTTTCACTCCCTTGCCATCAGCCTATTTTTGAATTTCCTTTTATTGCACCCTCCTTGCTGCCATGAAGGCTGTTTTATATTGTAAATATGGTACTTCATTGTCTTGAGTATAAGACTCAGATGTCTTAGGTTGGCTATGGGCCCTTGGGAGTCAGCCCATTTCACCTCTTCCTCACTATCTTCAATTCATATCCTCATTGCACCTTGCCCTCCAGCAGCTGCAAACAAAACCCAACACACCATCTCTTGTCTCTGCTGGCCCATCTCCCTGGAAAGCCATCTCCCTGCTTTGGTGCGTGTCTAACCCTGATTTGCTCTTGGAGACTCTGTTTGCTATCACCTCTGCTGGAAGTCTTCTTGCTCCTGTCAGCTCTTCTGGTCCTTTTCCGGGCTTCCACAATCCCCTGTGCTCACCTCTATCATGACACTTGTCACACTGCATTGGAATTGCCTGGTTATTCTGTCTTCCCTGATGAGACTAGACACCACCTGCTGGCAGGAATCCTTTATCCTCTCTCTCCACTCTGCCTAGCATGGTTTGGGACTGGAGAAAGGTCCTACACAGAGGTGATTGAGTCCCAGTCAATATGTTCACTGCATTATTCCTGTGTATAATTAAACCCACAATCTGTAAGTGCTGTGATTGCTGATGATTCTACTGTCGGTGGCAGGATTTTTTCCCCTCCCATCTTTTTTTTTTCTACAAGGAACTAACAGATGGGCTGTGCACACTTTTCTGGAGACAGCTATTAGCATGTCTCTCTGGCTTCATGCCATCTGCTCCAGATCAAAGTACAATATTCAAAAGGAAAAAGGTAGCATAGGGTAATTGAGTATCATGTTTAGGAGCTTGCAGATTCCACTCACTTTTCCTAGGGGGTCCCTGCAGCCGGTCTCTCCTCGGCCTGTGAGTTAAGGCTCTCTGGCCACATGGTTTTCTGCATGAGTGAAGGGATATGTCAGCAGTAGGACAGTGGTGGCACTGGACACAGGGGGCCACTTAGTGGCTGCAGTGGCAGCCACTTAGCAGCTTGTTAACTGTTTACTATTAATGTCCAATAGTGGAGAGAAGAGGTGCCCAGGAGCATCTGTTTATACCATGAAGTTCAGATCAATCATAAATCTCCTTGCTGTGAAGTGAAAGAGAATGCCTGCCTTGCTGCCTTACAGTTAGATTTTTTTAAAGTGTTGAAAATTGTAATTTATAGCCAGATGCTGACACCTGGGGATAGCCCCATTATTTGAAAGAAAAAAAAAAGGGAGACTGAAATATAAGAAAAGCACTGAAACCTAAAGAACTCCTCCAACATTAATACAGAACTTGCATGATGTCTCTTATCTACATTATCTCATTTGATGGATTCATTCATTCAAAAATATCTCTACTAGGTGCCAATCACTGCTTTAGTCTCTGAAGACATAACAAAGAACAAAACAGTTGCCAAAAAAAAAAAAAAATTCTCACCCTGTGGAGCTTACATTTTTGTGAAGTTCATTCTTTCCACAGGCCTCTGGGGTAAGTGTGATTGCTATCTCTTTAATTTGTACAGGAGGAATTGCTACTCCATGAGGGAAAGACTTGATACAGCTACACACTGTATGAGTAACAGATCCAAGGCTCCCGAAGAACCATGTAGCAAATATCTGTTGAGTGCTTACTCATGTAAGCACAGTCAGGAACTGTTGTACATATTCTACAACTTGTATTTACTCACGCAATCCTTAGAAAAACTCTATGACGTAGAAGTATGGTAATCCCCATCTTACCCATAAGTTCCCTGAGGCTCAGAAGATATTTATCTGAGTATGATGCAGCTGGCCAGTGGCAGAGCCTGTATTCATACATAGTGCATCCTCCATGTCACCCATTCTCCTTCTGTCTGCCATGAGCAGTCAAGAGGCTGAAGACCTAAACTTTATTACAGGCATTAATTTCCAGGAAAAGGAAAATATATAGGTAGAACAGGACATATATTCCTCTACTGTAGAAATCAGAATAATCATAATAATACTGCATATTCTACACCAAATATCGATGATGTGCCAGCATTTTTCGGTGTGTAGTGATACAGCTTCTGCAGCAGCAGTAATGTAGTGATCCATTTAATTCTCACGATAGTGTTGCAAAGTAAGTATTATTTTACAACCAGTTATAAAGATGAAGAAACTCTGACTCTGACAGGTCAAGTAATTTGCCCAGGAGTCTAAAGCTTAGAAATAAAGGGCTGAATCAGGATTCAAACCTGGCCCATCAGATTCAAAAGTCCCCAGTGGCCAGACCTTCCACTGTATATCACATACTCGAGTTCACTCCCCTGTCTCGTTGTCACTGGCTGGACAATTACGAACAGGGAGATTGGGATTCAATAGCTGCAGAAATTTTTATGGCCCGTTAAGGGAGGAATAGAGCACACAGTTTAACACCAACTGAAGCCAGTTCTGTTATCTTAAGTAGAGTCAGGAAGCAAAAACATGCTAATTGAAATTAATTTTAAACTTGCGTTCTAAAAGTTGAAGTCTTGGAGGTAATCTATGAAAATTTTAGCAGCCAAAGAAAGGAAACCTAGATATGTGGAAGTGGCTTGTCCATAGCTTCCAATGTGGCTGGTTAAGCAGCAAGACTAAAACCCAGGTCTTCCAAGTCCCTAATCTGGTACAGGTTTGGGAGAGGCCCCGGAGTAGTGCTGTGACTGTGCTGTGACCGGTGATATGGCTTGGCTGTGTTTCCACCCAGATCTCACCTTGAATTCTAATAATCCCCACGTGTCTCCTCCAGGTGGAGATAACTGAATCATGGGGGTGGTTTCCTCCATACTGTTCTCACGGTCGTGAGTAAGTGTCATGAGATCTGATGGTTTTATAGAGGGAAGTTCCCCTGCACACAATCCCCCTTGCTTGCCACCATGTAAGACATTTCTTTGCTCTTCCTTTGTCTTCCACCATGATTGTCAGGCATGTGAAACTGAGTCCATTAAACCTCTTTCCTTTGCAAATTGCCTAGTCTCAGGTATGTCTTTATTAGCGCGTGAGAATGGACTAATATAACCAGGCAGGTCCTCAGGGTGTTTTTAATCAAATGTTAGGGGTGGAAGAGATATAAAATTGCATCTAGTCCCATCTTCTCATTTATAGAGAAGGGAATGGAGACTCAGGGTCCAAGTCATTCCTCTGCCTGGAGTACTCTGGACTCTGATGTCTACTTGAGATTTTCCTGCCCCTACTAATCCTCTCACACTTCGCCTAGGCAAGAGCCCCTAGTAACCACAGTGGCTCCACTGACACCTGCCCTCTGCCTGTACTCAAAAGGCCCATACTCTGCTCTGCATTTTATTTGTCCCTATCACTTCTCATTTTTAAACATATTGTACAAGTTACTTATTTTTATGTTATTTCCTGTTTACCCAGTAGAAGGTAAGCCCTTTGTCTGTTGTGTTGACTCACACATCCTAACCACCTACAACAGAACCCGGCACATAGAGGGCACCTGGTGAGCATTTTTGAAATAAACATGCCTGCAAATTAGTAAGTTTTGGGCCTAAAGTTCCCATCATCTGTCCCAGCATACCCTTTACAGATAAGACAATGAGCACAGAGCATGGGCATTCTGAACATAAGACTCAAGCATAGAAGGGTGGTGCATTTCTCCCCAAAACTCTTTCTCTTATTTAAAATGGCATGTGCTATTATACTAGTCCCATGGATATTTTATTATCTATTTTAGGTAAGGAAAACTAGTAATCATCACCATCGCCTTTTAAAGATTAGATTGGGAAACTTCACAATTGAATACATTTCTAGGCAACCTGCAGTCTAAACTGTAAGTTAGATCCAAGGGTTATGAACCTCTATTGCTTCTAAAAGTTCATAATGATCCCTTAGCTCATGAGTAATAACTGTAGCTATTTTAGAACAGGGTATGCATTTTTAATTTACTTTGAATAAAAGCACAGTTTATATTTGGTGGCAAGAATTTGCTTCTAACAGTATGTAATTAAAAGTAATTATAGAAAAAATGCATGAAGATTTGTATTCTAAAATATTCAAACAACTCTATTTGCCATTTATAAGAATAAAGGCAAAAAAGATAAAGCCACAAATTTCAAATATGTAGTTAAAGAAAACCCTTTAAGGTCCCATGTATATTAAAAAGAGAACTAAACCACCTTTGGCTATTTCCAAGTCCAGTGGCCTGGCCACATGGAATGCCTCATGCCATGGAAACAAGGTAAGATTGTTGGGCTCCATCCATTTGTAACTTGCCTGCAACACTACTACTATACATATTTTTAACCTGCTGTTAAGGCAGTAAATACATTTAAAGACTATTTGAAAAACAGAACACATACTTTCTAACTCACCAAGAGTCTCATCATTCTCCCAACTCACAGTTAGCAGTTTGCTCTTGTCCCATAGGGTGCTCCCCACTTTGTCTGGGGACACTCCCCTTCCTTGAGTCAGCACCAAGTAAGGCAGATCCCTTCTATCCATCAGGTCTCAAGAGGTCTATGGAAAGCTGACTCCGTGTCCTCCCCTGCTTATTGCTTTCTCTCCAGGCTGAGGTAGAAGAGTGGAAATGGACCTGGGCTAATTGCATAGCTATATGTACACCACACTCCCAAAAGCTGTACACTTGAGTACCAGAATCTTGAACTCTCTGGGTGAAAGACATTAGTGAATTCCAGGCCAGTAACATCCCAGAGCTCTGGACCCCACCACCATCTTCCCCTCTAAATGGTAGCTTCTCAGTCATCATTTGGCGGCTAGCTCTATAATCTCTTTCTCTCTCTTGCTGAGTGAAGGCCGAAGGAAGGGAAGCTGGTGGAAGAGGGCTTACCTGAGGGTACAGCAGCAGTGCCGAAAGGTACAGAACCAAACACATCTGCACTCGCTGGAAGGGTCTGAGATGAAGATGGGGTAAAGGCATCACCTGGAGTTGCAGGAGTCTGCCAGACAGAGAGAGGCAGAGGACACATGAGACCTGGCTTAGCAGTCATCAAGGCTGGGAGGTAGCAGATGCAGGAATTAAGGGGCAGGGGGAGGGGGGTCGCAGTTCAAACCACTTACGCAGTTACATACACTTTATCTAGAAAATGGGAAATGATACCTCCAGAGCAACTCTGAGGATTAAGTGAGATAATGTATTAAGTTATTTTACATTACTTAAATTTTTAGCATCATGCATAGGCATATAGTAGGTGCTTGGCAAATAATGGCCAGTATCCTAATGATTTAGCTTGAGCCTTTACTCCCTGGTGGGTGTTTAAGGCCATCAAATTTTCCATAATATTTGGCATTCACCCTTCAGAGGTGGCCGGTGCAAATTCAAATACACCCACTCAAGACCTACTGTATGCCCAGCTCAGGGGTTGCAATTTAATACATGGTTAATGAACAGTTGCTGACTAAATCAACAAATAAAATGTAGCGACCCTACCTTGTATCTTGGTGCCCCCCCCGCCCCACCAACCCCCTGGATTTTGTCTGAATCTTCATTTGCAAAAAGAAATAAATATTGCGAAGAAGACAACAAGAAACAATGCTTGCACCACTGAAAATTCTACAGGGCCCAGTCCATGCTAGAATTCCAGAAAGGTCTGAACTGGGGGCAAGATGGGGGATACAGAAATGAAAACATCAGTACTCATAATTGTTTATTGCGTCCACACCCATTTACAGCAGGCTTTTGCCTACAGAGTATAAATCTGTTTGATGTTGTAATATTCTTTTTTTTCCCCCTTGGAATAGGCTGGGGCAAGCAATTAATCCTGAAATCATGGCAATTAGACAAGGCCATTTTTAGACTAGCAGCTTGCGGGACGAATGGCATTGTTCTGAGGATTATTAAATACCCATTTGGACTGCACTTGGGTTCAGGGCCAGAAACACAGCCATGAGCTGCTGTGTTAAGCACTTTTAAACACAGTCAGTGCTGTTCTTTTTTTTTCCCCCTTTGTGACCTTGGGTGAGTCACATGTCCTCTCTGGGACTCAATTTGCTCATCTGTATAATGAAGGGGATAAGGTTAGAAGATCTCTTCAGCCCTTTCTAGCTGCATAGTACTGCAGTTCTTACCCCAAGTTCCCAGGATGAAGTTGTTAGCCGAGGATAAAGGGGAAAATGAGAATAGTTAGAGCCGTCCAGCTTCTTTGGGGACAGAGGCTGTGGTACCCTCCCTCAAGGCTGCCTTGGACACCAGGTGTTGGCAGCAGGGCAGCTGTGCCTAGATTCCCTGGCAGCAGCAGTGGGCAGCAGTGTCTTGTGCCATCTGTCCTCAGTGGTGAGGTTACAGCCTCTTCTCTGTGAGGCGCATCATGCCAATGAACCATAGCACCATCCCTCGGTTTGCACAACTGTGCAGTGCCCAGAGGAGCTGTCCCCTCCCGGCAGCTTCAGCTGGTGCAGCTGCGGCTGACTGCTCTCTGCCCTCCTCCGGGAATGGGCAGGGGAGGGGCTGGAGGGGCCATCTCTGCTCTTTTCTTTGCAGTGGCTGCAGGGTTGCTTTTGAATGCATCAGCACTGGGATTCTATTTTGCTTTGGTTTTAATTAATTCTGTTTTCTTCTTTTCATTTTCAAATTAGGGCTCCATGCAATCTCTGTCCTTTTGCAAGCATTGACTGAGACACCCTGGCTGAAGCTATGTCTGGGACTCCAGAGCTTCTTGAGAAGCTCAGTGAGGCCCAGGTCATCGTCTGCAAAGCTGAAAGGCAGGCTGGAAGGGAGGGAAGAAACAAAAAGGAGGGAGAGAGGAAAGAAAGAGGGAAAGGAGAAAGGGATGGGCAGAACCAGGTGTGGGGAGAAGGTCCTTCCTTTACTGGGCTGACCACCTACACTGGTCTGGGCTTGGGGCAGGTTCTGATAAATGCCTCATCATATGTATTGTCCCGAGTTTCCTGCCTGCATTCCCAACCAGATTGTGTGCTCCTTGCAGTCAGGAACCACATCTCCTTTGGGCCTCTCTTCTCAGACCCCAGGCAGAATAGCAAGAACCCAGGCAAATCCTATCATTGCTGAATGCATGGTCTTGTTTATTTCTCAAAACAGAGGCTTATCTCATACTTCCCCTTTTTAAATAGCCACACAAATTAAGTGTTAGAATGACTAGTTAGTTTGCCCAAGTCACACAGCTTGAAAGAGTCAACACTGAAATCCACCAGTAGGTGTCTTTTACTCAAAGCCCATATTCTGGCCACTGAGAGGACATGAAAAGAAAGGAAAGGGGTGTGGGGTTCAGAGAGCAATGGATACTTACGGGGGGAGAGGTTATATCAGGGGGTGTGGACATGTCCCCAAAAAGTTCTAATTGGGTCACAGCCTGTAAAGACAAAAAGGTAATCATGTAACTACAAAGAAAGCTGGTGCTGCTGGGCCCTGCACATAGTGTTTTATAGGGATAAACATTTCTGGTTTTCATCATTTCTAGATAAACCATAATCCTGGTGGGTCATTACTGTACTTCACGATCCCAAAGGCAACATCTTGAATGCAGCCAGAATCAATTCTTGCTTCCTTGCATCTGGCTATTTATCCAGGCTTGGCCAAGACTGCCCATTAATCACCTCCCATAAGCAGTAATGACATCACTTCATACTTATTTACCATCAAATGGCAGCAATGGCTCTCTTTCCTAGGAGACAATGTGGGGAGGCAATCCTATCACACTGCGTTTTCTCTCATGAGCATGTCCACACATACAAGATGCCCTCCATGTGAAAGTAAGACATGACTCCATGGTCACATCAGGAAGGGCTCCCAGTAGCATTCACAGCATTCACCCTGAGAGGTAGGAATCATCATCCCCATTTTTACAAATAGATAAACTAAGTCTCAGAGATGTGGCATCGAGGTCACGCAGGCCGGGATTTAAATTCTCTGAATATAGAGAATGCAGTCAAATGGCATTCTCTGAAAGAGTCTGTCTGTAGATAAAATACATGGGTGTAGGAAAAGAAAACATTTCATTTAATACTAGGAAGGGCATCAAAACCAGCCTGGTGTATACACCATTAATCACTCCTAGAAACTCCATCACTGCAGATCATCTATCTCACCATCCATCATATGGGAGTGTCTGAACAAGGCCAGCCAGAGCAGCTAAAGAAACCCTTTAAGATACACTTAGAAATTAATCTGCATACACTGCCAGATTCACAGACTGTAGGGAGTCTATGGCCTGACTTAATTATGACAAGCATGTAATCACATGCTTTGTACAAACGTGTCCACTGAGGAAAAACCACTTTTTCCTCATCTTCAGATCTTAAGCGATAGCTTCAGACTGGGAGATCCTAAACATACCACTTAGTAGAAGAAATGGGGAGAGTCCTACTGCCCTGCCACACGGGGCTCCTGCATTCAAACTGCTCTAACCAGGTCATTGCTGGATCTCTAGGGTTCATCCACAGAAGGGAATGTTTTTCCCTACTGGCAAGTGAGTAAGCTTTGGGCTCTGGGAAAGTTCCCACACTCCATGCCTGGGAGAGTAGAGTACTGATAAGATAAAGCACTTGAGAAAGGGGTCCCAGGTCGGGGAGGGTCCCAGATGGGGAAGAACAATGAATAATTGTTCTGAAGGACAGTTAATCACAAACCACCCAAGGGCACAACAACAACCTCATTTGCAGGTAGCCCCCTCCAGCACAATCCTATAAAACTTCTCTCCAGCCCCTGCCTCTTTGCAGACAGCCCCTTCTCTGCTGTGCTGCCCACGGCAATCTTGCAATGTATTTTCATACTTTCTCTAATAAATCTACCTTTCTTTACCTACACATGTCTTCATAAATTCCTTTACTGCCTGCACCACTGGCTTCAAATAGTAGCTGCCCCCAACAGGGGGTATATTTGGATTCTACTACTTTCAATATCTGCAGCCCCTCAGAGCTACAGTTCCTTCACCTGGGCAATGGAGATGATAATATCTCCTTTGCAGATGTATTGACAATATTAATAGAAGAACTTTCTTTGATGTTTGACTGAGCCTGGCTGGAAAAGCACAAAATTCTGCTTTTTGCTGAAAGGAGAGAAGCACTTGTTAACGCACTTTCAGCTCTGCCTTCTCTTTCATTTTTCCGATTGACTAATAGTGCCTGGCACACAGTAGGGCCCTATAAGGACTAATTTTCTTTCCAACTGCACAATATTTTTAAAAATAAATGTTCAACAACTGCTAGATGCTGGGCACTGTGCTATGTGCTGAGAATATAATGAGAAATGCCAACTGTCAGCCTGCAGGCAGTTTACAGACTGGTGGGGAGGACATCCAATTTGTAGATGCAGACAGTCTCAAGTAATACAACAGAAATAGCAACAGGGGTCTCTATGGGGTGCTGTGGGAGTACCTAGAAGGAGACTGATCTGGTTTGGCTGTGTCCCGACCCAAATCTCAACTTGAATTGTGTCCCCCAGAATTCCCACATGTGTGGGAAGGACCTAGGGGGAGGTAACTGAATCATGGTGCTGGTCTTTCCCATGCTATTCTCGTGATAGTGAATAAGTCTTAAAAGATCTGATGGGTTTATTAGGGGGTTCTGCTTTTGCTTCTTCCTCATTTTCTCTTGCTGCTGCCACGTAAAAAGTGCCTTTTGCCTCCTGCCGTGATGCTGATGCCTCCCCAACCACGTGGAATTGCAAGTCCAATTAAACTTCTTTTTCTTCCCAGTCTTGAGTATGTCTTTATCAGCAGCATGCAAATGGACTAACACAGTAAAATTGGTACCAGTAGAGTGGGGCATTGCTGAAAAGATACCCGAAAATGTAGAAGTGACATTGGAACTGGGTAACAGGCAGAGGTTGGAATAGTTTGAAGAGCTCAGAAGAAGACAGATAAATGTGAGAAAATTTGAAACTCCCTAGAGACTTGTTGAAAATGCTGATAGTAATATGGATAATAAAATTCAGGCTGAGGTGGTCTCAGATGGAGATGAGGAACTTCTTGGGAACCAGAGCAAAGGTGACTCTTGTTATGTTTTAGCAAAGAGACTGGCAGCATTTTGCCCCTGCCCTAGAGATTTGTAGAACTTGGAACTTGAGGGATAATTTGGGGTATCTAGCAGAAAAATTTCTAAGCCGCAAAGCATTCAGTAGGTAACTTGAGTGCTGTTAAAGGCATTCAGATTCATAAGAGAAGCAGAGCATGAAAGTTTGGAAAATTTGCAGCCTATGTGATAGAAAAAAACAAAACAACACATTTTCTGGGGAGAAATTCAAGCCAGCTATAGAAATGTGCATAAGTAACAAGAAGCCTAATGTTAATTCCCATGACCACAGGGAAAATGTCTTAAGGCCATGTCAGAGGCCTGGAGGCCCAGGAGGAAAAAGTGGTTTAGTGGGTTCGGCCCAGGGTCCTTGTGCTGTGTACAGCCTAGGGACTTACTGCCCTGTGTCCCAGCCACTATAGCTACAGATGAAAGGGGTCAATGTACAGCTCAGGCTGTAGCTTCAGAGGGGAGAAGCCCCAGGCCTTGGCAGCTTCCATGTGGTATTAAGCCTGAGGGTGCACAGAAGTCAACAACTGAAGTTTGGGAATGTCCACCTAGATTTCTGAAGATATTTGAAAATGTCTGGATGCCCAGGCAGAAGTTTGCTGCAGGGGTGGGGCCCTCATGGAGAACCTTGGCTAGGGCAGTATGGAAGGATAATGTGAAGTCAGATACCCCACACAGAGTCCCTACTTGGACTTTTCTTAGTGTAGCTGTGAGAAGAGGGTCACCATCGTCCAGATCCCAGAATGACAGCTATCCACTGACAGCTTGCATCATGAGCCTGGAAAAGCCATAGACACTCAATGCCAGCCCATGAAAGCAGCCAGGAGGGAGGCTGTACCCTGCAAAGCCAAAGGGGCAGAGCTGCCCACGACCATGGGAACCCACCTCTTGCATCAGCATGACCTGGGTGTGAGACCTGGGGTAAAAGGAGTTCATTTTGGAGCTTTAAAATTTGACTGCCCCACTGATTTTCAAACTTGCATGGGCCCTGTAACCCCTTTGTTTTGGCCAATTTCTCCCATTTGGAATGGCTGTAATTATACAATACCTGCACCCATTGTATCTAGGAAGTAACTAGCTTGCTTTTGATTTTACAGGCTCATAGGCAGAAGAGACTTGCCTTGTCTCAGATGAGACTTTGGACTGTGGACTTTTGGGTTAATGCTGAAATGAGTTAAGACTCTGGGGTACTGTTGGGAAGGCATGATTGTTTTGAAATGTGAGAACATGAGATTCGGAGGGGCCAGGGGCAGAATGATATGGTTTGGCTGTGTCCCCACCCAAATCTCAACTTGAATTGTGTCTCCCAGTATTCCCACATGTTGTGGGAGAGATCCAGGGGGAAGTAATTGAATCATGGAGGCTGGTCTTTCCCATGTTATTCTCGTGATAGTGAATAAGTCTCATGAGATCTGATGGGTTTATCAGTGGTTTCTGCTTTTGTATCTTCCACATTCTCTCTTGCCACCACTCAGTAAGAAGCGCCATTTGCCTCCCACCATGATTCTGAGACCTCCTCAGGTATGTGGAACTGTAAGTCCAATTAAACCTCTTTTTCTTACCAGTCTTGGGTGTGCTGTTATCAGCAGCATGAAAACAGACTAATACAGAGACACAACTAGCTTTTGGCAAAGTTTAAGAAGGTTTTCTAAAGGAAATAGCCTGGATCTGAATCCTGAAGGAGAGGATCCAGGTGACAAAAAAAAGGAGACCCTCCAGGCAGAGGAAACTGCTTTAAAAAGGCCAGAGGCCAGAAACAGAGTAGGTGGATGGGAATGGAAGCAGTTCAGTGTTACCAACATGAAGGTGGGAGAGAAGAGGGCATATGTGGTAGACAGGGGCAAGGCTGTGGTGGGAATTTCATACATTTCACAGCCTTTTCCAAGATTCTTGGCTATCTTGTTTCTCTTTCATACAGTAACAGCCCAGCAGCTGATGGAATGGGGTGGCCAGCACACAGGTGCTCTCCCAAATCTTGCTGAACTTGAAACGCTCTTCGTTGGTAAGCCTTCTTTGGCATGTTAGCAATATTTTATATTATTTGATGAAGCTATGCTAGTCTTTTAGACCCTCTTCAAAATTCAGAGTAATAACTTTATTTAATCAATTCAAATGAAGCTTCTGGGCTTCCTTGAGACTAGAACTCTATGCTTTTAAAATGGCTCACAACTATTTTCAGTGTTAGGAAAATATTAAAATGAAGTTATTAATTAAGTCACACAATTTACATTTCAAATGTGCTGAACTCATGGCATACTCTGACTAACATCATAAATATACTTTATTGGCTAATTTTCTCCTTAAGCACAACTTTTAAAATAACCTTCATTCTCGAGACAGACTTTCCTTTTGCCAGATGATTTTCACTCAAGGATTAAACGAGAAAAACATGCAGCAGTGTAAAACATAGATTGTTATTTCATTCCATTGGTTTTCTGTTTAAATAGAACCTTGAGTTAATTAAATTTTATAGAAAAAGGGGATTCTTGGGCCATAAAATTAAAAATAATACTAATAACCATATGTGATTGGGAACCTGAAATAGTATCTATTTCCACAGACCTCCTCCCCATGTTAACCCCAGTCCTTTTATTTGTAAGCTAATAAACCATGTTCCATCTGATAATATTGCTCTAATGAATCATTTTAAAGGCCTCAAGAGAGTAAAACTAACAATTCACATTTGCAAAATGCTTTATAGTTTGCAATACACTTTCAAATACATTATCATCATGTCTGATACTCACTGAGCCCCGTAAAGTCAACAGCGTAGGCATCATTGCCATTATCTGTGTTGCACAGTTAAGCTAGCTGAGGCTGAGGTTAGGTGACTCACCTCTGATCAGTCAGCTAAAAGCAGCCAGAATGGACTTGACCCAGATGCCCACCAGCATCACTTTATTAAATCTTAGTTAGCCTTGCTAAATAGTGGAAGTCCAGCTCTACAACATTCTCTAACCAGAAATCTGGGCTCCTAGGAGTTATGACATGATGCACATCCATTTGAAGTCATTCAGAATGTCAGCTTGAGATGTCTACTTGCCAGAGAGAAAGGCCCTTCCATTACTGGTAAATGTCTCCTGGTAAAGAGAGATGTAGCTGGAGATGGGAGTTTTGCTCCTTTTTTCGCTCGCAGGGCATTTTCCAGGGGCAAGAAGAGTGTTATTGGAAGGTGCACAGGACAGTGAAGGAAAAGTAGCTTCGATGTTTAAGGAGGTAGTCCCCCAGTATTTCCATCAAGCCTGTTCTCTCCGCAATCATTCTCTGATATGAACAAGGGATGGATTTTCAGTAATATCTGGTTCAAGATTAATACACTGGTACTTCCAACTAGATCATTAAAACCGGACTCCTAGGTCTTTCCTAGAGAGAAATTCTGAAAGCATCATTGATGGAGGCTGAGATGTCATGGGCTGACACCCAAAACACCTTCTCACAGACCCATTCTCTATGTTTTGGCAAAAGGAATTCTGTGACCTTTCAGTGGGCAGACATGGGAGTCCCTATCATGCATCAGTTACCAAGAGCAAAGGCTACAGAGATAAGGCACATTCCCATTCCTATTTCTATTGTCATAAGCAGGCTGCTTTGTGGAAAGACAGCTTATGGAAAGACAGACCCAGAGACACAATCAATTGAGGAGAGAAGCACAGGGGTTATAAAAGAAGAGGCCATCTTAGGGTCTTGCACGTGCTCCTCTTCCTGTCTAGAACACTCATTCTCCCACACATCCTTCAGGACACAAATTAGAAGGCTTTCTGTTTTGCTTTCTATAAAGAGGCTTCCTAAGTCAATTTTCACCTTATCCCATTGCCCACGATACTCCCAGATCAGCGGTTCTCAACCTTGGATGCACATTGAGCTCACCTGGGGAAAAAAATACTGGTGCCTGCTTCTCACCTCTAAAGATTCTGAATTAATTGGTTTGAGGTAAAGCCTAGTCACTGGAACTTGGAAAGCTCTCCGAATGATTCTAATTTGCTGCCAAGGTTTAGGATTTTTGTCCTAGAGGTTTCCCAATACTGTATTTACAAGTGGTAACATTCATTGGATATCAATCAATTTGAACAGACATTGGCTGCAACTAATATATTTTATACTAGGATACACCTGAATAGCAGCTTCATCTGTTTTTTTATTACCAATGGTGTACTTGGGACATCTTGTTGATGTATCTGAATTCCTACTACATTGTGTTATACTACATATATTACACTACACTAGGCTAGGTGAGGCTCTACTGTCATATTGCATCCCAGGTAATGTTGCACTATGTTACACTGTGAGCTTCTTTAGGATACAGCCCCTTTTCTGCATCTCTAGCATCTATTAGGATGCCTGGGACATGTTAGAGGCTTGAAAAGTAGTGTTGGATGAAAATAAGGGGTGCTAGCCCTTCTCCAACACACACTCTTGTTCACACATGTATGTGCACACACACACACACACACACAAACACACAGGTGTACATACACTCTCACTATTTGACCTCATGGCAGGGCCCATTAATAGTCTTCCTGGGGACATTTGAATAGGTACCTACTAGAGCAGAGCAGAGTAGCGAGTCTGCCATTTATGAAGCTAGATGAGGAGAACATGGAATGCATGAGAATGAGCAGAACAACCTCATTTAACAAAAACCTCAAAGCCTTACCTTTGTTGCCTCAAAAATCTCATCAAAGTCCATGGGCAGGTTTCTGTTCTGTAACCACAAGGCACAACTGATGAGCATGAAATGAATGATGAGATAATGACATGAAACAGTTAACCAGAGAAGGCTCTAATTCTTACTGGGGTGGCTGCAGCAAACCGTTCTTCAAAATCCTCAAATGAACAGCCGTTCTGAAAGTGGAAGGGATGATGAATGAGGATGAAGTGAATGACACACAAATGACATGGATTTATGAGTTTAATGATGACAGTATCTATGGTTCACACTTCCATGGTCTCAGTAGACAGAAGCTGTCTCCCTGTCTGTGAAAATCTTGGAATATGTTTCTAACACAAGCAGATAATAAAGCATGGGTCTGATTAGGAAATATAGAAATGGTAAATTGGTAAGTTTAAAGTCCATCCTTCAGCAATTATAGACATCGCCCTGTAGTTAACAGACATCAGCAGTGGTTATAGATAAGAGTATGGTGTTTACACTCAAGATTTTTCCTTTAAAAGAACAAAAGGTCAGCTTGTGCTTTAGCCAAACTTTACTCTTTGGAGCGGTCTATGAACAGTTGGTTTTGTATGTGCTTTTATACATGTTGTCTTCTCTGCTTGAAATGCTCTTCCCCTCATCTCTGCAAGTTCAGTGCTCCCCAAATACCTCAAGCCCAGCGAAAAGCCACCTCCTCCATGAAGTGTTCCTTTACCTTTTGAACTGAAATCCTATTGAGTGACCTCAGCACATTATCTGTGCCTATTATACCATGAGCTCCCTTAAGCAGTTGGTAGAGGGTCTCCCCGGCAGCTGGTACAGGGTCTGGCTCATAGCAGTGCTTAAAAATACAGAAAAGAATGCATATTCTAGAAGTAGCTGGCAGTGGGCAAAATTTAATTGCTTTGTTAACTTTGTATTTTATTGTTGATATTATACATTATAGGTATGTATAATATATCATGTACATGTATATATTAATGGCCATGTTCTAGTCTATATGGATAAGCTAATTATTCTTTGGATGGTTTCCAAATAGTAAAACATTAATATAAATCTGCTAATATGGACATTAAAATGAAGTTATTACACATGAATAGTTTTGAGGAGAGCTTTCTGGCAATGAAGGAGTGGGAAAATGATCACCCATAGCCTCATAATATTGCTGTTTGTCAGAATTTGCTTTCATCCTGTCTACAGGAAATGTGACTGTTTACTTCCCTCAGTCCCAGTTACAGAGAGCAGAGCAGAGCAGAACAGAGCAGAGCAGAGCAGAGTAGAAGAACCAATGTGCCCAGGCCCACCAAGGCAGGGCCTTCAGGTCAACCACCAACCACCTGTTTCCACCAGCCCCTGGCTCAACATGACTTAACTGTAGCTACACCGAGAGGAAAAGCCACCATATCAAATAACCACATACATTATTATTATTATTATTTAGCCAAAGGTGGGGAGAGGTGGTGAGACAATATTAGTCTAAGTGATCCTGTACTCTATGATGTGTCCTAAAAGGTTAAGGTTATGTCGCTACATCCTTTATAAATTCACACAATCCTAGCAATTTATGGCAGAGCCCCTACCAACTAGCTCTGGGTCATAACTTTTAATAAAAACGTTTTTTAGTGTCCAAAATCTCATTACATCTGTCCAATATAAAAAAGCAAATGGCTTCAGAGCATGATGGATGAATTAAATAAATTTGAAAAACAGTCTGTGGTAGAGGCTCATAAAAATCCCCACCATGTCCCATATAATGAAAATGTGGGAGGATAACCAGTGTCAGCATGAGCATGTTGTCACCTTCCTGGGACAGGAGAGGTGGCCTTTGGTGAGGTGTGGTTGAGGTGTGATGAGGCAATTTCTGTGAATTCAGGTGAAGCTTGGTCTGAGCAGGTAAGCAAATGCATCTTTTTGGAATCACACAGACATGGACCAGATCCTGGCCACGTCAGGCCATGGATGTGTGGGCCATGTAGCTCTAGACAAGTCTATCAGCCTCAGTTTTCTCATCTTTAAAGTGGAGTGGATAATGGCAACATCACTATAGGTTAATTGAGCAGTTTAACTGAGATGTGTGTGCAAAGTCTTGTTTGGTGTTTAGCACACAGTAGATGCCTAAGAAATCATAGCTATTATTATCTTCTCTTCCTAGTTTTGGCTCATTACAGTAATGTACATGCACACTTTTTTTTTTTTTTTTTTTTGAGACAGGGTCTCACTCTGTCGCAGGCTGGAGTGCAGTGGTGCAATGTTGGCTCACTGCAACTTTGCCTCCTGGGTTTAAGTGATTCTCCTGTCTCAGCCTCCTGAGTAGCTGGAATTACAGGTGCATACCACCATGCCTGGCTAATTTTTGTATTTTTAGTAGAGATGGGGTGTTGCCAGTTTGGCCAGGCTGGTCTCAAACTCCTGACCTCATGTGATCGATCCACCCACCTCAGCCTTCCTCAGCCACGAAGCCCAGACCCAATGCCTATAATTTTTAATGTTAGGAAGCTATTATTATATAATATTTGGAAATAGAGGAGAAAGAAATGAAAATCTTTCCAATGGCCTCTCTTTAGGAACTACCTCCACCAAAGAGCCCAATACTTCCTAGGCTTCTCATCCTTACTCCTGAACCTTCATTCCATTCTTGACTCCATTTTCTCTCTTTTGCCCTACTCTTGGCTATAGTCTTGCCTGATCATCTTCTTCCCAGCCATATTATTTTTTACCTTGTGGCTACCTGAATGTTCTGACTCTGGATCAGTCATTTCTCAGAGCTGCTTTCTTACAGCGACCTGTTTGGGGAAACCTTTGTAGACACCCAGTGCACTTCCTCCAGCCAGTGGGGAGATCCTTCCAGCTAATAAATACACTTTTTCCCAGGTAATTCTCATGAGCAGAAACTGATGATCTACTCCCTAGTCTCTTCAAACTGCTAAATCCTACTTTACTCACAATTAGCACTTGACTTTTAATTCATTTATATTAAAGTTGTTTTTTTTTTGGTTTGAGTATGTATTTTTCATACTATCATAGCACGTACACAGTTTGGTATTCTTTTAAAAACTCAACATGACATCAAATTTACTCGCAACTTAAGCTTCCAGTGAGGAAATGTCAAAGAAGATATTTCCCGTGTTGTTTCAATATGATTCTGGCTTGAATCTTCATGAAGAGATTGAAATAAAGTTCCACAGGGAGTTTATCTTCCTATAATCTTTTTTTCAGAACAGCGGGGACGCTATGACTCCATTACCAAGTAAGGCGACAAGGAAGACCAGATTCATGTTACTCTTACAGGAAAAATGGCAGTGGATGAGAAGGGACTTGGGATAAAAAAAGCTTGCAAAGAAAGAAAACCTTTTTTATGGCTTCCAAATCAGAAACTTGCTGTGGTCCTCACTCCTGTGGTCCTCACAACATAATCCTTTGGGGCAATTACTGATGCCAGAGCCACTTCATCAGAAATTTGGACTGTACTGGCCTAGAGGGGAGCCCTGGCATCAGTAGGTTTTAAAAGCTCCCCAGGTGATGCTAATGTGCAGCCAGATTTGCAAATCACCATGCTGGGGAATAAACTCTCAGCAGGAATAATTAGCAGAAGGAAAACTGAAGCTGCCTTGATTGATTATGCAATTGATTAATTAATTTCTTCAATGAACATTCACTGGGTGCCTTCCACATGCCATGTCCTGGTTAGGCACTGGCAATACCTAGATGAATAACACATGGTCCCTGTTTTCATAAGGTCAGAGCAGAGCTATGCTGTATGATCTTTGTAGCTTGGGGTGAATTGCTACGGGACAAGGACCACACAAGGCTTCTAGACTGAGAAGCTCAGAGCTCAGACCAAGGCTGAAGAAAAAAATAAATAAATAAAATTCAATTATCCATTTAGAAGGCTCAGAAGAAATGGATTAACTGAAGTGATTTGTAATTGCACTAAGGTGGGTACTATTAAGGACACCTACTGATTCCAGGCATCTAAATCTAAATGCATGTTACCTTTCTCTGATGAATGATTTAACAAGGAAGACACATGCTAATGAAGACTAATTCCTTCTGGGGCATCTAGGAGTTTATGCTCTTTATCACCTTTACCCAAGAGTAAACAACCGCTTTCCCACTTCTTGGCAGAGAGATGGGAAAGCTCTGTTTGGCAATTGAAGAACAAAGGGAAGTGGCTTAGGCTGAACAATAGAAACTCAGATGTTAATAAATGATCTCTAGAGCAGCTCTGTCCAATAGAACTTTTTGGGATGATGTGAAATTCTATATCCGTGTGGTCCAATACAGCAGTCAGTAGATACCTGCGCACTTCAAATATGGCTAGCATGACTGATGAACTAAATTTTAAATTTTATTTTGTTTTATTTAATAGCCTCATATGGCTAATGGCTACAGTATTGGACAAGCATGACTCTTGATAAAATATATTAAAAAATAATCTTCCAATTGACTGGCTGCTTCCTAAATGCTAGATGTAGTCCTTCCTTATATATCTTTTTCTATTCTTTTAAAGAATATCCTTTATCTGTGTTGACTGGAGAATTTCTATGAGAGAATTGATTTGCTTGCTGTCTAGACATTACCATGAAATCAAATTCAGCATGCAAAAACAGCACACTTCTTTCAGCTGTAAGAGGTTTTTTCATTGCATGAGCTAAGTGAATGAAAGCCAGGTATTTGTGAGGTTTTTTTTTTTTTTTTTTTTTTTGAGACGGAGTTTCACTCTTGTTACCAGGTTGGAGTGCAATGGCGTGATCTCGGCTCACCATAACCTCCGCCTCCTGGGTTCAGGCAATTCTCCTGCCTCAGCCTCCTGAGTAGCTGGGATTACAGGCACGAACCACCATGCCAGCTAATTTTTTGTATTTTTTAGGAGAGATGGGGTTTCACCATGTTAACCAGGATGGTCTTGATCTCTTGACCTCGTGATCCACCCGCCTCGGCCTCCCAAAGTCCTGGGATTACAGGTGTGAGCCACTGCGCCCGGCCCTGTGAGGCTTTTTTTTTTAGAAGAAAGTTAAGATTCATAATTCAAATGAAAATCCATGAAGCTTCATTAGAACTGAAACAAAATGAAATCCCATTTAATGCCAAAATGTGCCAGGCCTACTGAGATTTGGAGATTGGTGGTCTCGCTGGACTTAATGCCTTAATAGAGAAACTGGTGCTGCTTTGAGGTTTTATCTTTATAATG